GGGCAGAGGGGGCCCAGGGGCAGGTGAGGCGGGAAGGGCAGCCAGAGGCCCGCGTCTGGGAGCTGCAGAGCCCGGAGCTGCCCTGCTTCAGGGTGGCAGCCACACGCAGGGACCACCTCCCGAGTCTGTGGGCACTGCGCCCTTCTCAGTTGTCCTCCTGAAGCCTCCAGGCCTTTTCCCTTGGACAGCCTGGCCCCCTGGGGGACTGGGGACAGCTTTCTGGGGCTCGTGTGGCTGGTCATTAAGGTCCCTGGGGAGAGGAGCATGGAGCCCCAGGGAACCAGGCAAGGACACCAGAACCCTCCCCCATGGGCCATCTGAGGTTGGCAGAAGGGACACAACAGACGGGCCCCCAGGATGCCCATGGCCACGGGGACCCCAGTGCTGGGCCTCCCTACCCCTTCCCACCCGTGGCCAATAAGGCCACCTGGCCTGGCCTCGCCCGCCTGGTGGAGGCCTCCCCTGGAGAGGCCCTCTCCCTGCTCCGCCCCTGGCTGGCGGCCTCAGCAGGTCACCTGCTGGCTGCCATAGGCCGAGCCCACCCAGGCGGGGCTGGGGTGCCTGGCCATCCCCTGACAGGGGCCTGCAGAACAGCAGGTCAGCGCCCCCCCTCCTGTCCCTCCAGGGCTGGCTGCCAACCCCTCTGGCTCTTTGAGCAGGAGCCAGCTCGTTTGCAGCTGGTGTTAATTAAGAGCGAGAGGTGATGGGGGAGGTGAGCGAGGCCACGGAGGGCAGCTTCTGCCAGCCGCCGGCACAGCCCCCGGGGCCGGGGGAGCCCAGAGCAGGACCTGGGCCCCCAACCGCACTGTCCTCCCTCACTGGCTCCTGGGCAGAGCTGCCCAGCGGCCCCGCCCCCATCCCTGCAGTCAGATCTGCTGAGGCAGGAGCAGGGTCAAGGCTGCATGTGGCAGGGCCCACTGCTTGTTGGACGGGACTTGGCAGAGGCAGGCCCTAGGCCTGGCAGGGGTGGAGACAGTCCGCCCTGGCAGTCCCGCTTGGGGTCTGCCTGCTTAGAGTCAGTCAGACCCAGCACCGACCCCGCTGCTGCCACTGGGACCGATCCGGGCCTTGGTCTTCTTCTCTGTAAATTGGGAACAGCAGCCCCTGCCCGTGGCAGAGCCGTGTTGGGAAATGGGGTCACCTGTGCCAGGCACTCCGTCTGCACCTGGAAAGACGCTCGCCCCAGCAGGGGGCGGAGATGTGCATTCCTGGGGCACAGGCCACGCCAGCGCCCCGGGAGCCAGCCCCCCACGGCCTGCCCACAGCCCCCGGGGGCCACCATGCCGCCCCGCGGCCACTTTGGCCTGACTGGCCCCTGCCTTCCCGCGGCCCGCTCCTGTTGTGGGAGCGCGGGGCCGTCCTCGCCTCTCCATCTTAATTAGCTGCTCGTATTAATCTCGCAGTAACGTGGCGTCTTGCAGCCCTGGGTTTCGGGCTGTGGAATTAATTATTCCCCAAGCGAAAAGCTGTCAGGTCTGGGAGACCAGCCACTCGGAGCCACCGACACCACTTAGCAGCGTCCACCGCTTCCGCATGCGGCCCCGGGGCCAGAGCTGGGGGAGCCTCACACAAGGGTGCCCCCAGGCCTGGCGGTGAGGTGGGGACGGACCAGGCCCCACCCGGAGCCAGGCCTCCTGAGCCGGGGCTGAGGCCCTGCTGGCCTCCCCACCTGGGGCCTGCTCACTGGACCTGCCCCCTGGCACCACGTCCCCTGCTTAGCACAGAGGCACTCTGTGGGGCCAGGAGGGGGAGGCCAGGCCGGGCTGGGGGCGCTGGCCAGCCCAGCCCTGCTACTCCGGAGGAGGGGCTGCCAGCCTCCTGGTGGAGGCAGGAGGAGACAGCCAGCCCAGCAGAGGCAGGTGGACCGGGCTGCTCTGGAAGGTGGAGGCCTTCAGACCTGCTCTGCCTGGTGGTCTGCTCTCGTCCAGGCAGGGGGCTCCACGTCCCTGGACATTCACCCCAACCCCAGGAGGGGGCCGTCCCGCCTGATCCCACGTGGCGAGGCGGATGGATGTGGGTGCTCCTCCCTCCCTGGGCCTAGCCAGTCCTGGTGGCTCCCAGGCAGCACCCACCACACATGCAGTGGCACAGCTGCTCCTGGTGGCTTCCAGTCTGTGGCCCTTGGTGGCCCCTCTGGGCAGGAGCAGGGCTTCCCTGTCCTCCCCATCCTGTGTCAGGTCAGCCTCCGAAGGGCCTCAGGACACACTGGGGGTGAACGGACGGGGCCTGGCAAGACCCTGGGCACTTGTCACTTGCACGCATGTGCAGCTGCTCAGGGTGAGCCAGGGCCTGTGTCCCCATCGCTGTCACCCTACCAACCTCAGGTCCACTAGGAGCCTCCATGGGGGAGGACTCCTGGCCCCTCTCCTGTCCACCATCATCGGTCCCTCCTCGGGCTGGGAGGCCCTGTGCCTAGAGCCTGAGGGCACAGGCTTCTGATGGGCCACCCCCTCCCTGTCCCCACAGCCCCCGTCCCCAAGCCGCTCTACACTGACCTTCTCTCTGTCTCTCTCTCTCTCTCTCTCTTGCAGCCAACAGCTCCCTGCTTGGAGGTGGAGGTGGTGAGTGGACCTTCCTCTCTCGGCTGGGGACGGGTGGCCTGGTGACGTCTCCTTGCCCCTGCTTCTCGGCCAGGCCGGTTGCTGTAACCGAGGCAAGCTGGAGGCCCGGTTCCGCCACAGCTGGGCACCTGGACAGCCCAGTCTCCCAGCCCAGGCCCCTGCTCTGTGATGAGGCCTGACCAGGGCCAGTGCTGCACCCCTCTGCCATGTGGCCTCAGGAAGCCCTGTGCCCACTGGCCCGGGTCCCCACCTATGGGGGTGACGTGACCATCTCTGCCCTGTGCTGGTGACCCAGGTGGCTCTGCAGCCAGGACAAGGTCTCATGAGGTCAGGGGCACTCCGCCCACAGCTGAGGCCCTAGGGCACTGGTCACTCGCTGTTACTGATGTCCATCAGGGAGCAGGGACTGTGGCCAGCAGGAGGTCAGAGGTCAGGGGACCTGGTGGCCAGGGATGTGGGCCAAGGCCAGTGGGTGCATGGGGTAAGGGGGCCTCTGTGGCCTCCATGGCTTCCTCCCATCAGCTGCCCACCAGGCCCCACAGCCCTTCAGAGGCGTGGGCCCTGCTGGCCCTGCGGCCGCTGTCTGAGCGGGCAGCAGGATGATTGGTGAGCCGGGGGCCAGGGGTTAATGCGACGCCGGATAAATCCCGGGGGCTGTGTTTACGGCAGTGGTGGCGGGGCCCAGGCCAGGTTTTAAAAGGGGGAAAATAAAAGGGGCAGCGGAGGTCAGGAATAAATAAGAACAGCTTGAGAGCTGGGGGGCCAGCCAGGAGGGGGGGCTGCTGTGGCTGGAGACTGTCCCCTCCCTCCCCGCTTCTCCTCTAGCTGTCCCTGTGGAGGTCACAGCTACCGGGAGGGGATGTGGCGCACACTCAGAGGCCCCTCTCAGCCTGCTTTGGGAGGACTTGGGGGCTGTGGCTGATTGGCACCTGCCGAGCTGCACCCACAGCACCGTCTCCTGTGTCCCCTCAGTCACCACCTGGTGACCGAGTTCCCACTGTGTGCAGGCCCCAAGCTGGGTGCCAGGACAGTCACTGCTGGACCTCAGTGGGCCGTCCCTGCCCTCTGAGCTCACAGGGCAGAGACAGAGCCCCCCACCACCCAGGGCGGTCTCGGGGAGGCACTGGCCGTAGGAGCTGGGCAGGGACACCTGTCCCAGCTGGGGCACCAGAAAGGCTTCTGTAGGAGGTGCCACTGGCACCGAGCGAGAGGCAGGTAGGAACGCACCCAGGGAGGAGAGGACGGAGGGGTGTCCCAGGCACAGGGAACAGCGCAGACCCGGAAGGAGGACCCGGAGCAGGGTCCTTGGAGCCTGGCCCGGAGACAGGGAGGCCAGGGCTGGCGCAGGAGCCTTAGAGGCCAGCAAGGAGCTGGGTTCAGCCACTCCACTTGGGAAGGTGGGGCCAGAACACCGGGGGGCGTCTCAGTTTGAACTCAGCTCCTCTTCCTCTCCGAACCTCCATCAGAGCCAAGGCCTAGGTCCTTGTGCCGCAAAGTCCCCATCACCTTCCCGACTGTCCCCCCAAGTCCCTCCCTCCCACTGGGCTCCAGCCACGCCCACCGGCCTTCTGCCCCAAGGCTCTTCCTGCAGAGGTCCAAGTGGCCAATGCCCGCCTCCCCGGTGCGGCCCACCTGACCCCCAGCTGACTTTGCAGCTTCCCGCTGCCCGCCCCTCGCCCTGCTCTGGTGTGGCTCTCCCGGAGCATGTAGCTCCTTCCAACACGCCTCGGTTCATAGGCTCCTTGTCACCCGTCCCCAGAAGGAAAGACTGAATCACCAGAGCTGGATCTGGCCCTGTAGTAGGTGCCTAGAGCGTGTGTATCGAATGGAGGATGAACTGCAGGGACAGCGGGGACAGCTGGTGGGACAGTGGGGACAGCGCCGAGGGTGGTGGGCGAGAACCTGTGGGTTTAGGAAGAGCAAGGGGGGGTGACCTCACGCTGGGAAGTCGTGGGCCACCTGCACGGCAGCCTGGGGCATCACGGGAGCTGCTCTGGCTCCCCCTGCGGCCTTGGGGGTGAGAGGAGGCTGGAGCCTGACGGATGGGGCGCCCCCAGGAAGTGGGACCTGAGTCCAGCCTTTTAACGCTGCAGAGATTTATGGAGCCGCCAAGTGCTCTGCTCGCTGGGGCTGTCACTCTGCTAATGTGATGGGAACAAGGGAACAAGGTGGGGTGGTGGGGAGGGGACTGTGCTGGGGACAAGGCCTCGGTGGGTGGGGGCCTGCCCAGCCGCAGGCTAAAATGGAGCCAGGCACAGGTCCCTGTGCCATCCCCTGCCCCCGGATCTGCCTCATGGCTGCTGCCACCCCTGTCCCCAGCCTCAACCCTTGGCCGCCGCGTCCCCACCTAACTGCCTTAAGACCCTGGAATTCCCGTGGGCATGAAGCTCCTCCTGAGGGGTGTCCCCTCCCCAAGGTCAGGGTTCCAGGAGATGGAGCCCCTAGAGCCGCCCTGCTCTGCGCCTGCCCTCCAGGGCCACCTGCCTGCAAAGGGAGGGACAGCTGGCCATCCGTGGCTGCCTCGCTGAGCAGGTGCCAGGCAGCTGGGGCTCCTAAGGGGGCCCAGGCCCTGCGCTGAGGGCTTGGGTGCAGTGGCCCACGTCTGAGCTAGGAGCCTGCAGTGGCTCTGGCTGAAGGAGGGGCTGCAGCCCTCCCTGACTCGGTGAGACCCCCAGGGCTGCGGGCTAGGTGGCGTGGCCACCCGGTGAGTCTGGGGGAAGCGCCCCACTCCCCATCCCTGATTGGGGGGGGGGGAGGCCATGGGACTCCGCCCTCCGAGAGACCAGGTGTGACAGGAGGTTTCCCAGCAGCTGGGGCGTCAGACTTGGGTTCTGAGGGGCGGATAGGAGCTCGCAAGGGTGGCAGGATGGCCAGCTGCAGGAGGGGGACCTGCGGCAGGGGCAGCCCGGCCTCCCCCAGAGCTGCTGGCCCCAGGCCCACCCCTCTCCCACCTCCCTCCTGGAAAGCCTTTTATTGGCTCCATAAAAGACTTTGAAACTCTCTCCTGTTGAACTGTGAGAGGGAGGCGGGTCCTGGATCCGGGCGGATCGACAGGCCTGACGCGCGCCTCTCCTGTTTATTAGGACTGAAATGTTTACTTGGCGATAAGGAGCCGCTTTCTCGGGGAGATTTGTGCGCTCTTTTTCAATTACCCCTCGTCTTTCTCTGCCACTTTTGCACTAAAGGGATAATAAATGTATCGGAGCGTTTCAATTATTCATCTAAATCATGACTGCGCCTGCCACGGCCAAGCTTTAGTGACAGATTAATTCAGGGCCGCCTTCCTCTGCCTGCCTGTCGCCATCTCTGCTTGGGCCTGGCCAGCTCCCCAAAGGCCAACTCCAGGGGGTGGGGCAGGGTCAGGCAGGAGGGCAAGGCAGCCTGGGGGGAACCAGTACCCCACACCCACACTCCCTGCCTGGGACTCCCAGAGGGTAGCACCCCAGCCACCTTCAAGAGCCAGCCTGCCACGCCCCTGCCTGATGGCTGTGCTCCTCCGGGCTCCTAGGCCCTCATCACACATCCCTGTGTGTCCTGTGAACCTGGCCCCAGGGTCCTCACGCCTGGGAGAAGCCTGGTGGCTTGGTCTCCCTCATAGCCTTCAGCTGGCACTGGGCCTTTGCACATGCTGATGCCTGAGAACCCCTCTGCTGTCCATCTTGTCCAGCTGTCACCTGCTCTGTGTTGGGGTAGCCTGTCTGGCCAAGCCTCAGCTCTACTTAATGGGGCCTGCTGGCATTGTCCTTGACACTGGGGTATGGTCACCTGTGCCTGTTGTGGCTGGTGTGCTAGGGCCTTGATGTTGAGATGTTTGTCTGTGTGGTTGTTCAGGAGCTACCTGACTCCTGCCGTGGGACCACCTCCGGGCATGCACAGGGCAGGCAGTGCTCAGCACAGATTTGCCTCTGGCCAGGCTGTGCCCAGGTGCCCTGCCCACTCCCCCTCCTCTGCCCTCCTCATACCCACAACCTGGGGTTTCCCTCTGCCCTCTCTGGCTCCTTCTCCCTCTCTCTCTGTCACACTGAGCTATACCCCCAGGCCTTTAGTCCTTTTTTTTTTTTTTTTTTTTTAGTTATAGATGGACATAATACCTTTATTTATTTTTACGTGGTGCTGAGGATTGAACCCAGTGCCTCATGCATGCTAGGCGAGCACTCTACCATTGAGCCACAACCCCAGTCCCCTAATTTTTTATTTTGGGACAGGGTCTCACTAAGTTGCTGAGGCTGGTCTCAAGCTTCTGGTCCTCCTGCCTCAGCCTCCTGAGCCACTGGGATGCAGGCGTGTGCCCCGGTGGCTTCACTCAGTCTGTATTGCTCTTCTCTGTCCGTCTCAGGTATTCTCTGCTGCCTTTCCTCTGCCTTGTTGCTCCCATTTGTCTCTCAAACTGTTTCTCCTCCTCTCTTGCTCCTCCTCTTTCTCCCTATCATATCCCCCCCCATTCTCTGCTCATGGACAGGATTAGTGAGGTGTCTAAGCATTCAGACCCCAAGCAAGGGCTGCCTGTCACACAGCCCGCCGCCCCTGCTGGCACTATCTTGCCAGCCCTGCTGCTGAGCTGCGATCGCTTCCTGTGGCCTCCAGGAAGAAGTTCAGCTTGGGCCGCGCTGATGAGCTGCGGCCTGGCTCAGTGAGATAGATAATGCAATGCGGCCTGTGTGGCCCTGTGGGCCACCTTAGTGCTCTCAAGACCAAGCTGTGCCCAGCACCCTCCCTGGCCATGCTGGGCTCGGAAGAAGCAGGTGGCCGGGTTGGTGGGAGTGCAGACTGCGGCTGTCTGGAAAGGGTAGGGGTGGCTGTGTTCAGCACAGAGGGAAAGGCCCAGAGGCCCTCGCAACTCCCCCTCCCCCCCACAAGGGCCCACTGTGCCGGCTGTGGCTCATGCTTGTCATCTCAGTGGCTTGAGAGGCTGAGGCAGGAGGATCGCGAATTCAAAGCCAGCCTCAGCAACTCAGTAAGGCCCTAAACCACTTAGCAAGACCCTGCCTCAAAATTAAATA